AGTGCATCATGAGTGACTTCATCGAGCTTAGTCGATCATTGCTTGTAACCTGCGGCCCAAGCTCACAGGACACTCCCACGTAGAGCAATTTCTCTTCGCTGGTTTGCTGATGCAGCTGCTTGCTTCAACGTAAATGGCTCCCACTGCTTAGCGACAGCATTTGGGATGCCGTACGTGGTGGTTTCTTCTTTGGAGGAACTGAATCCTGGAGGGCTGATTCAACTAACAACGATCACGGTACCAGTAGCATTCTTTTGATCTGCTAACTCTGTTTGTTGTTCAGCTCTTTGCCAATAGATGCACTCTAAGGACACAGGCCTTCTCTGTAAGTCCGACACGCACATTGAAGCTGGATGTTCTACTTCGTCAGTCTGTTTCTACATTCTGCTCCTGGCAAGGTAAACATTTGTTTTTCGTATCTATCCCCATAAATATGTTTCCTACCCTCGCCATTTGTTCAGATGGAGCTCAACCATTACAGGTCTTGCAGGTCGACGAGGTTGCTAAAGCGGATGGAATATGTCCCTCGAAACTATATGCCCAGAGGATCAGGTGATGGTTTTCGCTGGGAGTTCTCCGGCAAGAGTGTTAAAGCTCGCCTCCATCAAAGTAGCACACCTTTGGAGGGAGGCAAACATAGATCAGCATCCAGGCGATTGTTTTGTAGGAGCAAGCTTTCTATGGTGGTGAGATTGTTGGAGCTGAGATCCAGGTACCTCATGAGAAGTCCAAAACGCGCTGGTACCTCACCTGGTTGCTTCCGTCTATCTCTTCTTCGGATGCCGACATAAGGGGACGGATTCAACAAACAACTAGTCGGACATGAAAGTCCCCAAGGTAAACGTGTTTTTGTTTGTGTCTGTTCTGCGTTTCCTACCAGCCAGGCGTGCGGCCTGACCATGTGAAAAACTCGATCCGCTTGTCTTTATCAAGGTTAAATGAGTAAATCTTTGCTTACTTTCTCGAGTTGTTCAGAATTCTTAATTCCTCGATCTCTCCAGCTTCTTGGGGAAACAAGCAGGTTACTTGTCTCCTTTTTCAGTGCCAATACATTCTTGTCAAGGAAGTTTGCGATCTGACAATGAAACATTCCGTCATACATTCCGTCATTCCGTCAAATGAATTAACTTATTATCATGAGTTACAAATGTTCATGCGCTCTAGGAAGTTTTCTGGTAAAACAGAATGTATGCATCTGTGGAGCTACTGTGTTCTGAAACATGTTCCACCGATTCGTCATCACATGCATACCACTCACTGTTTCCAAGTTTTATACTCGCTGTATAGTGCCCGTAATCAGCGTCACCCGTGTGGTTTATCAACCCATATAGTGAGTAGTGCTGCCCCGAGATCTCCACACTTTCTGGAATATCTATGGCAGTATCAATCTTTTCGACATTCCCAGACGAATCACACTTGAACCTTGCGAGATGGATAATCAAGCAGGCTGGAAGTTTCACAAACTCCATCTTCTTGCAAATGTTGTGCTGCTTACTCTTGCACTTTGAGCAGCACCATGCATCCAACATATCATCTTTTGTGTACTCTTGAATGCACGATTCTAGCGTAATGGTGTTGCCCACAGTCGATGATGGTACTGGCAGCGAGAGAGACATGAAAGTCTCAAGTGTCACCGAGGCCTCGTTGGAGCACTTTGGGCACTGTAGCTTTGTTCTAGTCTGGCCCTCAAAAATTTCTGCAACTAGCGAGCTTTGCACTTGACCACCACCTTTACGATCCTTTCTCCCTGATTTCACAGGCTTTATTTTCGTGGCAGCCCTCATATCATGACCGTGCTTCAGCTCTTGATCCAAAGCATTCAAGAGGAACATGAGATACTCCTGTGCATCCTGTTGCGAGCTTGGGCTAGATTGGAGCTTGGGTCCTGGCTTGATGGACACGCTCGCGTTGCTACGCATGCTCTCAATGATCAGCTTCCTGAAATCATTCGCCACTTCACCCCTGATCTTGTCCGCCTTTGCAAAGAAATCTGATAGCCGTGGCGTATGTAGCAGGCACTGGAGGCTGCTGTTCATCGAGCACGTACTTCCCTGGTTCTGAAGACCAATCGCCATTTGATAGTTTTGAAACCCTAGGACCCGTTTTGTAGGAACGAGAACCTTTTTGATATTTTCATTAGAACAAAACAAAGCATCCCACATGGCATCCCTCGCGCTAGCGATGGTGGATTCGAGGGTACTCCGCTAAGGGAAGCACTATTCTATCAGCGTGGGCGGTAGTCTGTTTGTCTCTCTTGGTATTGTAGATTGATCGTTTGATTTATTTTCCAGGAAGAGGGAGCTCCAGAGGGGGAAAAAAAGGTACATTCTTTTGGTCCTTGGTGAGTCTATCGTTTTCAGCTTTCTGATCGTAGGAAGATGGAACTTCTCCAACGTTAAACAATTTCTATGACCTTCCAAAAGTAAGAAACAACAATGGAAAATTTTAGCAATTTAATTTTTCATGGTGAATCTGTTTAAACAGGGAGTAACGCACAAGGAGATGATCGCTGCTCGGCACCACTACCTCAAGTGTCAAGCTCGCTGTGGTTTACTTCCTCCCTCCACGCCAATCCGGTCTTTCTAAGTTCACAACCAAGGTATGTTCAAATGTTCTTTCATCTCAAAACCTTTCAGATTATCTTTGCAGGAAACATGATCCAGTCTTGAAGCGAGTAGTTTGCTTTCTTTCTGAGTAGCATTTCAAAGCCCTCGTTTCTCCAGTAGCCAGGAAAATCTTCACGTCCCAACTTGCATAATCTTCAGCTTGAGGTCTCTTTGTATCAATCTTTTCCCACTCTATTCTATGTGGCCGCTGTATGTAGAGCAAAACGTAAGTCTCCCAGATCGAAACAAGACCTTGGCTGCTGCTCATCATGTTCCTTGCGTAGATCCTGCATTTGATCTCATGCTTGATCTCTATTACATCAAGAACGTTCATAAGAAAGGCGTGAGAGAGTGTGCCGTGCAGACCTTGCCTTTGTCCATGGCTTCCTTGATCATCCTGGCCAATTGCTCACGCATGGAAGCTCCATTACCAGTCAGGAACAAGAGCAGGAACTCCTGCTGTGGCCGAGTGAAGTAAGCGTCGAGTCCCTCATGCCGGAGTAAGCCAAGAAATGATCCACATACAGGTACAGCTGCTCCATTGCTATTCTTGGGCTCATGAGTTGTGAGTTGAGTTTAATTTTCAATTATAGTATAATACACATATTCTAAATTTTTAAAAAATTAAGGTTTATTGAAAATTTAATATTTTCATAACTATATTATATAGATAAAAAATATTCTAAAGGACATTTTATTTTATTTTATGTTCTAATGAACATCCCTATTATGACATATAGTAAGTATTTATATTGTTGAGCAAAAGATTTATTTGCAGAAAAAGTAATTTTGTCATTTCTTTAAATCCATACTCTATGCTTTCTAGCTACTAAATGTCAGATTTGTCAGAAGGAAAAAGAAACAACCATTAATATAATCTTGTTGCATATAAAAAAGAGATTTGATTCTTTTTCTAGAATACATTCTTAAGGGGTTTGTCATAGTATAATGTCTACAATTTATATATCTTCACTTACATTCTCATTCAAAAAGAGGGAAATATACATAAATGTTTATCAGTTTTAATATTAGTAATTTTAACTTTTGCAATCTTTTTTTCCAAGGTAATAATTCAAGGGTTAAGAGTTGTAATAGTTGTCCCATTGCACAACATAACGAAATCACACAAAAGAAAGAAAGAAAAGATAGCAAGGATGCTGATCATAAGTTAGAGAAAAATGCAATGACAAAGGGTGTAACAAATTGGGTGTAAAAAAATGCCCCTACTTATTTTAAAAAATTGTAATTCTGTGACTTTTAAAAAGTGCTCTATTTTCTTTTTAGCTTCCAATGGACAATATGATGGTATATATATTATTGCAACACATTGCAACATCATGCCTCCAAAAGACTACCATGAAATATTTATTGAGATGGTAAAGATAGAAATGGAGACACACTAATATTATAGATAATATTGTAAAAAGAATATTTTCAAGTATATCAAATAAAAATGTTTTTTTATTAATTATAAAAAGTATACTAATGTTGTGCAGATAGAGATAGTGAGAAATTATTTTGCAACTCCGAAGCATGTTCAAAAGATGGTGCTCAAGGATTTTATTGCAAGCACCCTACTCTATCTAGGTTGTAAGAAAACTCAATTAAAGAAGGCTAGTTTATGAGACTTACTATGATGCAGGAACCTACCACTAGCCTCAGAAGGTAAAAAACTAATATTATGTACTTTACAATAATATCTCTTTTATATTTTGTGTTATTTAGAATAAAATCTTAGATGTGTGAATTTCGAGAGGGGAAGTTACAGTAAAAAATTGATTCTATCCTTGAAATAAAATGGACCTATCTTTATGAGTTTATCCACAGGAGTTTATTTCCAGATTAAGTCATTAATAAGTAGGAGCATCCTTTTGTCCTCAAGATGTCTAAACCTCTACCTTTGGTGTAAATCTTGTCTCTCAAATGGATATGTTTGGGTCAAGGGACCTTGTTAATACATATGTACATTTTGAACACATAGAGCTGGTATCGAGTTGAACAACCATGTGAGCTTATGTGTATGATTTGAGGTAGTTATTTTTCTCACTATTTTAAAATGGTTGTAAATATTATCTTTTACATAGGCTATATTCCAATTTAACAATTGCAAAGTACAAGACTAGATGGCCTAGGAAATATTTTTGGTGCGGGTTTAACAATTAGCAACCCTAAACCCTAAACCCTAAACCCTAAACCTTCTCCTATATTATGCTAAAGCGGACTAGTAGACTTACTAGCTTTTATGGTTTCATATTAGATGGGGTTGGGGCTAATTAAAATGGTGTTTGGGCAAGTTTTAGGAATGGTCAACCCTTAGAAGGTTGTGAGAGAACTTGTGAGTTTTATTGGGCTCAAAGTCTAAACTAGAGAAATTATGCAAATAATGGCAATTTGCATATTTTGAAGAAGAGCACGAGGCAAAAGCAAATGAAATCCAATTGTGGTGGCATGAAGATGGCTATACTGATGCAAGTTGTCTACCACAACTTGAGTCATAATTAGGGTGGTGGGAAGTTAGGATGTCCAATGGGGATATCATTCTTTTTATGTTGGTTTCACTTTTTTCTTTTCTTTTCATTACCTTTTAATATTGTCTTTTTCATTATGACTAAGCATTTAAGGATTTCTAATTATGAATCTCTCTGAGAGTAAGTATTGGAGTTAATGTTCCTGTAAGGTAAGGAAGGGAAGCTAAGTTTATATAAAGCATATCTATTGGATTTGATATGTGCTACAGAGTAGTCTTGAAAAACCTTAGCATTTCAAGAAGGAAGATACATAAGACTAGAGCCTTCTATTGAGATTTTACAAGATCGAATGAAGAAGAAAGTACTCCATTGCATGAATAGTTTTTTTCTCAATATTGCTCATAATACTTGTGTATCTTTATTTCTGTTTTTACCATCTCAAAAAATATTTCATAGTAGTTTTTCGGGTGCATAATGTTGTAGTGTATCACAAGAGCATATATACTATTATATTGATCATCACCTTGTTTTCACTGAAGCAGACAAACATATAAAGCATTTCTTGAAAGTCATAAAATTGCAATTTTCTAAAATAAGTAGGAGAGCATTCTTTTTCGTTATACCCTTTATCATTGCTTTTATCTCCAACTTGTGATCACTATTCACTCTTTATTTCTTTTACATAGTTTGGTTGTGTTGTGCAATAGAATGACTATTATAGCTTCTAAGCCTTGAATTACTACTTTGGGAAGAAATATTGCAAAATTTAAAATTACAAACATTAAAACCTATAAACATTTGTGTGTATTTCCCTTTCTTTGAATGAGAGTGTGAGTGAAGATCTATAACTTTTAAATATTATCCTATGATAAATCCTTCAAGAATGTAT